CTTTCGATCCTACCCCGAAAATCGACCTTCCCCCACCTCCCTCCCCCATGGTTCAAAAAGAAAAAGCAAACGCCTCACCGTTCCAAAAAACACAGGAGAAACTGCACCACCATGATTGGGAAAAGGCAGCGCAACAGCGTAACAGGCACAGTTTCAAAACCTGCCCACCACACAAACCCCGCCCAAATTCCATTTTTGACAGAATTCATGACTATTTTCCCACGCAATACTGATATTGAGAAGGAAGGAACCAAAAGCCACCCAGAAATGGCCACATTGAATAGTTTATAAATTAGAGTATAGATTTTTTAGACAAAACGGGGCAAATCGCTCAGTTAATAGAAGTCTCTGATCATATCAGGTGAAGGATGTTGAAAGGTTAACGAACCTGACATTTTGGACAAAATTCTGGATATGGATGAAATGTATCTGCATCTTTTATGACAATAACAGTTGGAGGTACAATAATGGTCTGTGGTTGAACGGTATAAACTACACCACCTTGCACGGGTATACCACCTTGCATGGGTATCGGCTGAGGTTGTTGAGGTGGTGGTACTGGAAAAGAAAGTCTGATTGCATCAGTCATTTACCACTAATCGTTTATTTATATCATTTCTTTATGTGATTTCTAAATTTATGGTTGAATGCTTACACAACAAAATCACGTAAGGCTTTTGTAAACAAAGAGCATAACTGAAAATTTCCAGAGTGTTTGACTTGATCTTTGAACCTTCCAGGGTAGCCTACTGTCAGGTTTTTGCGCCGATCGCAACTGTTTGCGTTGGTACCGAACAACTCTGGTTTCAGGAGATGGTCTAGCATAGAATGCCCGCTTAGGTACAAACTTGAATAGTTCCAGGTCTTCTTTGGGAATTTCCAGGTATTCTTTGGGAAGGGTGATGAGGGAATGACAGTTCCTTTGCAGTAGCCCCAAGGAAGTAAGTTGCAATAAAGATTGTGGAATTTTTTTGAGCCGCCATAAAATTTTACACTTTACGCTTACAGTAACACCCTTTCAAGGAAGGTTCGATTTTTTTCATGAAGTAATCGATAGAAGAAGAGAGGACAGATTCATTTTTTCAAGTGAAGCCGGTCTAGCGAGGTGCATAGAGTGGTGAATGGGGGCTCCGGAGTTCTCTCCATGGTCCTTCTCAAAGCCTATCGATAGGCATAGTACTTCGTGGTCAACTTAGGCTTCCTTCGCCTCCTTTCTCCGTTCATAGCCGGTATCTTTGAGAAGCTGTCCAGGTTCTCGATTTCATATTTTAAAAAAGTTGTTTTCTTTCATCTTCTCTGATTTTTTTTATTTATTCATACCAATTTTCTCCTTAGTAAGTTTCCATGTCAAACTAAAATTCCTTGGAACATATGGCTTGAAGTAGGAATTCTTCTAGATCGAATCAATTGTAAATGGAAACAAAGAAGAAAACAAAAAAAAAACTGCAGAATATACCGTTCACTTGTGGACTAGGTTGAGGTGGAGGTGGTGCGGAGGGAGCCTTGAGAGCATCCTGAAAGTGATACAATAATAATATGAAATTTACTATTTCTTGTTTGTAACTCATCAATATTTCACTGCGTTCAGTTTTTCTTTCTTTATAAGAAGGAGCAAAGCAAATCGGAGCAATTTTGACATCTGATTCTATTGTGACTTCTTATTAATAACCCCATAGCCGTAGTGTTGAGAAATTTCTTAAAAAACTTCTCTCATCCAAAAATACATAAGAAACTAAGGATTCAATGTACTCGCTGCTAGTTAGAAGTTTGAGCGTATTTCATTGTAAGATTATTAAAGAAGGTAAGACCATTCTTTTATAGTACATTGTTGGCAAAAGTTTTGGGCAGCAATTCCCTGTTATCACCGAATGGGACATCGACAAAAACGGCTATTGAATACTTTAAAGGTTTAGGAAACGAAAGAGGGAATCAATTTCATCCAACTCTCATCATACATATAACATTACGTACATGGAGCTGTACAAATCAGGTTGAGCTAAACAACTCTCTAGGAAAAAGTTGAAGAAAATTCCACTGTCGAAAAAAAATCTGGAAAAAATCAAGTTCGTATTTTTCCGCTTTCTTTCGATCAAGGCTTAGTTTTTAAGCACGACTTCTGCGAATATTCGTCTCAAAATTCGATCCCATCCCCGAAACCCATACAGCAAGCGTCGGAGGAATTAAACAGAGCATGCGGGGGTTGAACGAATGCTGGCTGAATTACAAAACACTATTAACTACAACTTTATAACGCTATGAGGAGAATCTTTTACAATGAAATGAAGGACAGACATCTCCGTCACAAAACCTTTTATATGACGACGCACGTTTTCAATTTATATTCATATGGAATTCTGATTTCTTCTTCACTATTTCCCCATCTATTCGATCAATGTTGTTGTTGTGGCAATAATCCAAAAAATCAAAGATTCCAAGGTAAATAACGATAGGAATTACCTGATAGGTGGGTGGCGCCGATTGCTGTGCGGCCATTGATGAAGTGTCAGGCGTCTTGATGACTGGAGCGATCTGAATCAGCACTATCAACAATGCTTCGCGTTAAGCTTTATGCCTTTCGTGTGTGGAAACGTGCCGAGTGCGCACTTGAACTGCTTTTTGTGTGCTTTTGATGACACAGTTTTGGAATGCCCATGTGATAACCAAATACGTGCTCTTCTACTTTGCGCAATGGTCCCTTCAGTACTGGACAGGAATTACAATTTCACAGCTCAATAGGAAGTGCAATTGCCTTAGTTCTGAGGAATTTTTCCCGATTTCTAAAACAAAGCTTCACAAAAGTCGAGCCAGAAATCGTTGCTGAGAACTAGGTCAGATCATTTGAGAGCAGATGATCCCTTATTGATCAAAGGAATCAAGTTGTGAAATTCAAGTATGTCTGCTTTCATAGCATATTATGGGAAAAGAACCCTATTTTGAAACTGCTCGAAGTTCCTGAAGTTTCATTACACGGGGCTATATCATCGCCTGATATGGAATACAGGGCGGAGGTCGCGTAGTGGTAAATGACATAATATACAAGAAGGGTGTGGGGGTCGAGTCCCGGACTGATTTACAGCCAGAGCAACGGCTCACCAACGCTGAAAAGTTGCTTATTCGGCATAAGACTCGTTTGGGAGCATGAAAGCACTGAGATGCACATTGGCTGGTCCCGAAGCACCTCTCAGCCATCGTATAGGCCGCATACATATTCTAATGACGATGCGATTCTTTAGAAAGTCATATGGGAACAGCACTTCCAAAGGGTAGTCCAACGTGGCAACAAGCTTCATGATAAAGTTCATAAAGATTCCAGTGGTGTAAAAGATGCTATACATTAGCTGAGATTGACTTTTTTTAGAGTAATTTGCAATTTATCTCACATATGGAATGATTGCAATGACGACTGACAAAAAATCTTATGTTATCTAGACTAGCCATGGAATTCAATGAGTAATAATTGTCCTGACTTACAAGACCTGTTAGGTTTTTGTCTTTAGAAATCAATAAAGAAGAACAAAATAAAAAAGATTACTCTTTCGGGGAAGCTGCTTTGGAGGCAGTGATAAGTCGGGTCTACCTACGTGTTATCATATACAACGAACGTGCTTTATCAGCAGCCCCACCTGGCCGAATCGTGACTTTACTTCGCATTTGCGAGCTTCATAAACCTGCTGAGCTAGTGAAACTACTGCTTTTGAGCAGACTACAGAACCGGTGCCAAGAAATGGACAATGTTGGTGTGATGGGCTTCGGACACGCAAAGCAAGGGACGAAAATCACTCATCATCAAAAAGTTCTGGTAGAAAAGTCATGCCTTTGAGTCTCTGCTCATCGATTCGGAAGCGTTGAGCTGGATTCGTAAGCATTCAGCTGGAGGAAAACGTTGCTTTCGGTTAATGAAAAAGGCAATCAAAAGATTCTATGCAAGGTAATATGTACGGTAGAGCATGGGACAAGCTGAAGCGGTTGTCCTGTCCAAAACGATTTTGGGTCATGCGTCCGGCAGAAGACGTTTTTCTCCCGAAAATTCGCCTTTCTTTCTGGCGAAATGGTTTTTGGTAACAAATAAAAGAGTCTGGGTGAAGTGCGAATCGATAAAGAAGAATCGTCCCAGTCGTCTCAGCGATTATGATAAAGACCCCCGGTCAAAGCAATATGGCACTTCTCTTTCACCTTCTGAAGCATTCTATGATTTGAAAAAAATGGGGGGCAGAATTTATTGAAAGAATTAAATTTTTATGCTAATTCATGCATTAGTTATTTTTTAAAAGTATAGATCCAGTCTCAACATTACGTTGTTTACTATAGGGTGTGTATAATGGAAACTATGGGTAATTTGAATTGTTAACACTGGATGAGCAGAGTGTCTTTACCTAGTGCCTTTCTACACCATCCACTGAATATATGTTTTTGTAAGTTATATTTTGAAATATTTCAAAAACCTTGAATAAAGGATAAAGGATAAAGTTTTTGGCGTTAATCAATCCAGTCTGAGGGATGCGCCCCCGCACTCTACTTCCATTCAGAATCGCAGTGGCGTAACGAGTGCGTATGTGGCCCATGACTACAATGACTTGCGGTGGCCAGCCGATGTACAAGTCAGTGCTTTTATCCTCCC